ATAATGTGTTCTTCCTCATGAATCACAATATATAACTTTAAAAAAATACTGTTTGGAGTACAGACCAAAATCTTTATGTCTATTATTCATTAGTCTTACTAGTTTATTATTATGTATATGTTTCTGTAGGAAATGTAGCCCTATGAGGAAAACGCTTACCCATAATTCTGCTTTTATCTTTAGCTTTCCAGGTAGTGTAGACACATTTCTTATGTGTGTGGTTGTTATTTTCTCATCTACAAAATAGAGGGGTTGATCACAGATTCGTACTGATCTGAATATGAATTTTGTGGAAATTAACAAAATTTCTTCATATTTTTTGCTCAGTGGTGAAGTAGGAAAAGGTGTATAAGTGTCTTATATGTGTGTTTTGGTATGTAGCACTGTGGTTTGGTTTTGCTTGCTTTCATTTACAATCTCCAACATTTGTTTTACATGACTTAGATTTTTTCTCCTATGCCTGGAGAGTCCTGTGAGAATGCCAACACTTCCTTGGGCAGAAGAATGTCAGTTAATTGTGAGAAGTTGGTGAAGAGGGAAAAGCCAAGGGAATTAATTTTTCCATCTAATTACGACCTCCTTCGCCACTTACAGTATGCAACACATTTTCCTATACCTCTGGTAAGTCATTGCTTCAGTTAATCTACACCCTGATTATTTTATTATAAGATCAATAACTGTTGAATGTCAGATTATTCAACTATTTTCTTGACTAATACATAATGATAGCAGGTGAATTTTTTGCATTTGCTCCTGCCTCTGTTCTAATTCTGATCTTAAGCTTATGTACTGATGTTGTCCAAATTTGTAGTGATATTAGTGGCTAATTAGATTTAGAAAATGAAATTTTCTATATTAGTATCCTTTTATTAAAGAGCATTTGAGTCACTGGAGGTGATGTCTAAATGTGTTTTTTTTTTTCTTTCCTTTTTTTTTGGGACGGAGTTCTGCTTCTGTTGCCCAGGCTGGAGTACAGTGATGCGATCTTGGCTCACCACAATCTCTGCCTCCCAGGTTCAAGTGATTCTCCTGCTTCAGCCTCCCTAGTAGCTGGAATTACAGGCACCCACCACCATGCCTGGCTAATGTTTTGTATTTTTGGTAGAGACAGGGTTTCACCATTTTGGGCAGGCTGGTCTCAAACTCCTGACCTCAGGTGATCCGCCCGCCTCGGCCTCTCAGAGTGATGGGATTACAGGTGTGAGCCACTGTGCCAGGCCTAAATGTGTTTTAATTTGAAAGGAAATTTACTGAGTAACTTTTATGTACACTGTATTATGGTAGGTACTTCTAGTCAGTAAGAATTGTGAGGCATAGGAAAAATGGGAGACAAACAACTATAAATGGCAAGCTCTCAAATATGTGCAATAATTGAGTAAAAACTCAAATTCTCACTGGAAGGTGAGCCAGTTGATATTTCTGGGCACCTTCCACTCTCAAAGAATGAGTATTGGAGAGAACTAGAGCATTTTAGTTGAAAAATTGGGTAAGACTTCATAGAGGCTTGTACAAGATAGGCTCGGATTTGGACTGGTTGAATTTAAGAATTGTATAGCAAATGGGAAATGCTTGGCAGGAAGTTTACCGTTTGAGTCTTAGCAAAGTGATGTGCTTTATTCTAAAGGGTAACAAAATTGGTTTCTTAATATTAGAAATAAAAATTGGGTCAAAATTTGAAAAAAGTTTATTCTTGGGTTCACTAACTTTTTTTCTGGATTTTTATTTTAAGTGCAATTTCAGTGAGTCATTTTTTTTCATTGAGTATTACTTTTACATATAAAAAGCATAATTGGGTCAGGAGCGCGGCTCACGCCTCTAATCCCAACACTTTGGGAGGCCGAGGTGGGCAGATTACGAGGTCAGGAGATCGAGACCATTTTGGCTAACATGGTGAAACCCTAAAAATACAAAACATTAGCCAGGCGTGGTGGTGGGTGCCTGTAGTCCCAGCTACTCGGGAGGCTGAGGCAGGAGAATGGCGTGAACCCGGGAGGCGGACCTTGCAGTGAGCCGAGATCACCCCTGCACTCCAATCTGGGCAACAGATCGAGACTCTGTCTCAAAACAAACAAAAGTAAATGTAGGTGTATTATGTTATTTCCTGGGTATCTTCTAGGAGTTTTGATCTGCAAAACTAAGTATTCTGTTTGTTTGTTTGTTTATTTATTTATTTTGGTATTTTGGAATATCTCCTGAAATGACTTTCAAAATTACCAAACCCATATATTTTTTTCTTATTACCATTAAAAGTCTCTTTTTTTGTAATTTTTCTATGTCCAGGGCCATTTCAAAACTTGTCAAATGATCAAACCCATATTTTTTTCCTTATTACAATTAACAATCCGTGTTTTGTTAATTTTTCTATGTCCAGGGATGTCATTTATCACTGCCTGAATAATATCTATAATTTTCAGCTGTTACCTATAGACATTCATTTACATTATAATGGAATAACCTCACAGTTTATTTAGGGGAGCAGAAAGGGTAGCCTTATATTTTAGAGATGTATCCTAAAGAATTTATAGATGAACTATCATGTCTGGGATTTGTTTTTAAAATATTCAGGGTAAAAAAGGGAGACGATATTAACATCCAGAGTTTATTTAATAGTAATATACCAATGTTAACTTCTTAGTTTCAACAAATGTACTGTGGTTCTCTTAAGTCATTTACATTAGAGGAAACTGGCTGAATGGGTATGGAACTCTGTGTACTATTTTGCAACTTCTCTGTAAATTGGAAATAAAAATTTATTTAAAAGAAAGAATACAGGGGGGGATGATAAATTAAGCAAAGACGGCAAAATGTTGAAAAGGGTTGAAACTGGTTGAATGGTTGAGGGCTATGTGTTCCTTTCTTGGGTAAATGGAGCTTTGCAGGTCTCTCTCCCAGGTGTCTGGGTGTCAGAGCAGGACCCTAAGCCTCAGCTTCTTTATTCTGTTGTTCCCGTGACCTTGGTTTTACAGCCTTTCCCTGCATTTAACATTCTGCTTCCTTGGAAGAAAGAGCTTAAATGATTTTCAGTGACCATGTGTCATAATGAATCATGAGATAATTTAACTATAACAATTTGTGAAAGAACTGCTAGACAACTGATACTGTAGGATACATTTTTTAATAGCTTTCCACCACCGGTTGCCCTAAACTCCCTGTTACCATGAGTGCAATTCAGAAGAAGCCAAAGGATATGCTAATATAACACTGACATTAGGAATGCTACTGTCTGTTATTTTTCCCTTAATGAAGAGAGAAAATCTGACTAGCTTCTCATGCATGTAAGGAAACTATAAAAACGTAGTTAAGAAAAGTGTTTTCTATCTCCCCATATCTCATATGGGGCCCTACTAAGTGAAGACCAAGGAGAAGAGGATTAAAGGAGGCTTGACCAAAGATTCAGAAAAATAAAGTAGTTTCATGATGCTATTCTGTGAATAATACTTGATCTGCCCATTAGTGAACCATGTTTCCTAGACTACCAGCAAACACAGGTTCTAGTGGATAGGCATTCTATCAGCCTGCAGCTGAGGTAAGTCATTTACACTGTGTCAGATGTGTAAGGCTGCTGGAGTTTCTGTCATTACCATTAGCTAGCTAGAATTGTATAGCATTATCTTGTTGTATGTTTTATAATAGGCACTTTATGTATTTTCTCATTTATTATTCACTTCAGAGTCAGAATATATTTATGGAATTGTAGATAGGATTTGCTTTAGAAAATAATTTGTGAAATGCAAAAATGAGTTTGGAATCAAACTCGTTTTCCTAGCTTCCAGGAACACCATTTTTTAATCATTGCAGCTAATGCAAATGGATTTACCAGCTGTTTTTATATGGGCTTATTTTACTAATGAAATAAAAAACACAAAGTCATCATGTATGGTTATCTAAATTTTTCCAATATTCTTTTTCCTAACAAGTCTTTTATTTAATGCTGTGTATTCTTTCTGCATCACCAGCAGTGGAGAGAATTTGATCAGAGTTGTGACTCTGAGAGCTGGAGTCACCTTATACTTTATCGTTATTTATTTATTTATTTATTTATTGATTTTTGAGACGGAGTCTCACTCTTTTTGCCCAGGCTGGAGTGCAGTAGGGCAATCTTAGCTCAATGCAACCTCTGTCTCCCAGGTTTAAGTGATTCTCCTGCCTCAGCCTCCCAAGTAGCTGGGATTACAGGCATGCACTATCACACAAGGCTAAATTTTGTATTTTTAGTAGAGACGGGGTTTCACCATGTTGGCCAGGCTAATCTCTAACCCTTGACCTCAAGTGATCCGCCCGCCTCAGCCTCCCAAAGTGTGTGAGCCACCACACCCGGCTGGAGTCACCTGTACTTTAAACTGGGGCCCTACATGGAGTCAGGCTCATCTTTCTGGACCTGGGCAGCGCTAAGTAGCTCAGCCCATGCTACATTCCTAACACGGCCTTGCTATGTGAAGTCAGTGTATCTGTTTTGTAAAGACCATCTGACTGGTGCTGTTTTACCATTGATGTGCTATCGATGTGATTTTCTAGTTCCAAAAACACTCGTTTCAGTAATTAGTATAACTTAACTCCCTCTGAAATATTCTAGGGTCTCTGTTTCGTATTATTCAAAATAGAAATGAGAAGTCACTAAATTTATTATTACTAACATCAGGAAGCCTTTATTGTAACCTATAGATAGAATATAAGTACAAATAATACATTAAAGATTGTCTATATTTTTCAAGACTTTTTATAAATAAAAGTTTTTGATTGTGTTAGAAAAAAATGAGACATTAAAAAATGAAGGAGTAATGAGCTGAAAGACTACCATCTTTTGAAGTGATGGATTAGAAATAAAATAGGCATAAGTAGTTTTATGTAAGCTGCATTTTTTAAAGTAATCTGAAAGGCTTTAAAATTAAGTTGCTGGTGGGCTTTCTGGTAACTTACATGGAAATTATTTTTTATATTTTTATCAAGAAGTCAGTTCCAGGCATTTAAATGAATAACTCATGAATACCTTTGGGTCTATGTCATGGGCCTCTTTTGGATTTCAAGGATATTGCAGGATTTTACATTCGTTCAATGAGACTCTTTAGTTTTTTGTACAAATATTTGGGTTAATGAGTAGCAACAAGTCTAACAATAAAGCTTGACTTGCATTTAGAAACAGGATTTCTAAGTAAACCTATCCATATTTGCTAGCTAATTGTATTTTTTCTTACTTTTTTTTTCTCCCCCTCTTTCCAAGCTGTATTTAATTTTACGGTCCAGTAAGGCAGAATTGGTAGCACAAAAAATGCTGTCTTTTATGCATTATTTTCACATCTTAAGTTTTCTTTCTGAGCCTTGGTCTCTTTAGGTGAGGCAAAAGTCTCAGTGACCTTTGAGCGAAATGCTTTTGAGAGATGATAGTACAGGATAGGATCAAAGCACAGGTTCGACACAGCCAGGAGCAGTGTAGCCTCTTTGGCTTTGAAGAGTGAAATCCTGGTTGAGCAATCAGTTATGACTTCTGTCTGGCTGAGGGTGTATGGGATTCGGACAATGTGGTAAGGAACAAAGCATATGATGTAGCCCGTGGTCACTAAAAGTATGTTGATGAGAGCCTTTTTCACATTTGGATAATTTTCATTATCTTTGTTTCTGTAGAGCTGTCGAATTACAAGGCAATTGGATATTAAAATGATGGCTGAGAAATTTAAAAATATTGCTACACATATGAAATTTGTCAGCAAATGCCAATTTCTTCCAAATTCCTTTTTAAACTCCATACAACCCACATTTGACTTTTCCTTGATGTCTTTGATGGGAATCATCATATTTGGCACCATTATAAGAAGGACCATTAGCCACACAACCGTTGATATCATTTTGGCAAATCCAGGTTCTTGTATTCGGTAGATCTTGCAGCTGTGTGTCAACTGAAGACAGCGATCAATGCTGACAAATGCTAAGAAGATAATTGATAAGTACATATTGATATAGATGAGGCAGGCTGTTACTTGGCAGTGGAATATCTTCAGTTTCCAAGGTGCCACACCCAAGTCAACAACAATTTTCACCGGTAATGCCAGAGTAAGCAGGAAATCAGCTGTAAGCAAATTAATTAAGTAGATGCTCACACACCTGTGATTCGTATTCTTCTGTATAAAAGCCCAGGTTGCAAAACAACTTCCAATAATTCCAACAAGGAAAACTAAATAAAAAAAATATGTGAATGGCTCCAGATCTTTATAAACTGGGCAAAAGAACGAACTGTTTGTCATCTTGAGGGAAAGTAAGGATGACTTCTAAGACTCTGTAAAATAAACAAGGAAAGGGAGGTTAGTAATTAAAATTAGCAGCTATTTTCTTTAAAAGACATTTGTCTTCATAATACCATTGTATTTCTAGTTTTTAGAATTTTAGTGGTGAACTTGCCAGACCATGTGGCCTGGTGAGAACATACTAGATTGTGAAGATGCCTGGGTTTTCCATTGTCTGATTTTGTGACTTTCAGGAAATCCCATGCAGGTTTGCTTTTGGTAGGGATATTTTCAACCTCAGGTTTTTCCATTCCGGTAGTTCTTGTTACCAGTTGGGTTGGAAGTTAGTTTGCAGAGGAGATAAGTGAACTGAGATTCTGAGAAGTAGAGAGAGGAAACTAGGGTTGTGGTTGGGCCCGAAGAGGCTTTTTTTCTTGTTTTGTTTTTTGTTTTCCATAGATTCATGTAGCTCCTAAGGCTTGGAGAACACAAGCTGACCGGGGAAGTAAGGAGTTGATGGAAAATTGTCTCCAGCCTGGTCGTGAGACTCTGTCTCAAAAAAAAAACAAAAAACAAAAAACACACACACAAAAAACCACAGTTACCAGAACATGGATGTAAGTTTGTAAGTTCATTCGTTACAAAATCCTTGGAGAAAGGTTTATTTATATTAGTATCAAAACATGTGACTTCAACACTTGAGTTTTTTTTTTTTTTTCTTTCATTGTGGGTTTTGAAGCAGTTAAAAGCCCAGAAGCATAAGACATACCCTTAGAACTACTGTGATCGCCACTAATAATGACAGTGAAGTCTTGTCATGTCCCTCCCAAATCTGGAACATTGAGTGGGTTTAGTTAAACTGATAGGGCTCCCTTTGACCTGGTCTATTCAAACTCACATGCTTAGAGCTAAGGGTACATTAGTAACCTTTCTGGTGCTGCCTGTTGGTGTGGGTCCTCCTTTTGCATATTAAACAATGTTCTTTTGTTTTAAAGACCTCAAGATTTTTTTTGTATTTTAGCAAGAAAAAATTTTATGCTATAATATAACCTTTTTAAAAGTAGCAAATAGTAAGTTATAGTGACCAACATAGAAGGCCAGATCAGCTACTCTGTAAGCGCCCTTTAATAAGAGAATAAAACTTCTGACGTCTTTCTAAATTTTAATTTCCCCAATTAGTTAATGATCCTTTGTGTGCATTTGTAATGAAACAATGTATGCAAACAGATGAATAAGGCAGATGTACACAAAGCTTTCTAAATTCAAGTGCTGCTTAAAGGCTACATGCCCTTTCTCTTTCCCTACCTGAGTTAGCATGTTAGAGTCCATGAATAATGTAATTCTTTACCAAACTTGATGAAAATAATTAAACAGTTGGTTTGTGTCTGGCATTATGCCAAATACTTTACATGTACTTATTTAACTTCTTATCATTTCCATAAGCTAGGTGTTGTTATTGTCCCTGCTTTATAGATGAGGAAACTGAGGCATAATGGGGTTACTTACCCGAGGTTACGTAACTGGTAAGATACAAAGCCAGGATTCCAACTCAGTCAGTCTGATCTCAGAATCACATTCAAAACCACCCCAAAACACTGCCTCAATAACAATAGTAAGATGATGATAGTAATGATGATGATGATTATTATATCTGCCAGGCTTTACTAAGGGCTTACTGTGTGGGCAGGAGCTATGTTCTAAACAATTTTTATGTAATAAAGCTGAAATAAACTATTCATTTTCAACTTTTTACCAAAATACTAAGAAAATAAGTTTAGGCTTTTCATGTATTTTGATGTTTTATGCATACAGCCACGCACATGCACACCGTACACACACACACACACACACACACACACACACACACACACACGCACATTTAAAAACAAAACCTAGGCCCTATCCAATAAGTTTAAACCAACTTTGCTCTCAAAGCTTCCATAACCTAGTTTCTCTCTACCATGTCTACTATCTCTTAATCCCAGATTAAGATTGGGATTGGTGGGGTCTCTACTGTTCTGTGTACCGTTCCTTCCTGCCTTTATACTTTTGCATGTGATAGAAATTTTGGAGTCATAGGATTTTAAGGATGGATGGAAACTTTATTGATAGCCTGTAGTCTAATCCCCAAGTCAGTTGAGGAGATTGAGGGCTGGCACTGGTGTGTTCCTCAAGTTTTCCCAGCATGTTCAAGCAGGACTAGGATCTGCTCTTACTGGTGATCGTCTAAGCTCTCTGTCTTTATCCTTACTATTCCTGAATCCTGCTTATTCCAGAGCCCTCAGGAAGCTTCTCACTTCTGAAAGCTACTCCAGGCTTTACTGATGTCCTTGGCGACCATGAATTTTGATAGTTACCATTTATTTGCACCTTGGAATTTTGAACATACTTTTCTTCTTTATGTGAAAAATTAGTATTTGTGTGCATTGATATTGTGTCACATCTTTGCTTATTGTTACTTTCTAAGGCCCTAGGATTTTGGCTTATGCACTTTTATTTCAAATATTACATAATAATAGTAACATAATGTGTTTCTTTAAGTGCTCCATTGCTTACACAACTATAAAATAAGATTATTGTGTCAATGAGACTTATATGGTAAAGAGAAGAATTAGAGTAATTTCTTTTTATTAATTTTCTCTGTAACTAGAACTGACTATACGTATTCACCGTACATGAATAATTTATTTGAAATGAATAACTAATCATTCAGTAATTCTCAAGAATCATGGAACATCTCACATTTCTCACATTTGTGTTTATGAACTTTTTTCTAAATTGCAGTGAAAAACAAATCTGTTTATTTAAAATTTTTACTTATGTAAATTAGAGGTTAAACTATTGTATAATAACATCCTGTGTTCTATGTCACAAGTTTGAGAATTAAGTGCTTATTAAATATTTTACCAGACAGTTAACTTACCAGTGAAAATGTGAGATACTCAGAGGTAGTCCAACAACAACAATACAAGATTTTAACTGTCTCTGTAGTTTGGATAGAGTGCCCATTGCTTAGAAAATAAATAAACTGGCTGGGCACAGTGGCTCATGCCTGTAATCCCAGCACTTTGGGGGGCCGAGGTGGGTGGATCACTTGAGGTCAGGAATTCGAGACCAGCCTGGTCAACATGGTGAAACCCTGTTTCTACTAAAAATACAAAAATTAGCCACCACCATTACAGGCGGTGGCGGGCACCTGTAATCCAGCTACTCAGAAGGCTGAGGCGGGAGAATTGCTTGAACCCAGTATGTGGAGGTTGCAGTGAGCCGAGATCATACCACTGCTCTCCAGCCTGGATGAAAATGCGAGACTCCTCAAAAACAAAACAAAAGAAAAACAAAATAAAAGTTTATTAGATTTTCTATGGGAGTTGCAGTGGAATTTTCTTGAAATCACCTATTGTAATGTTTGTAGAGGAAAGTCATCTTAAAGCCTGTTGTTCCCGTTGTGAAGATCTACAACATGGCCTCTATCCACTCAGTTATAACATTGAGTTACTGAATAGTTATGCTTGCTCAGGTATTCAGTCTGGTGTCAGTTATCCTGTCTTTTGGAGACAGATGAATGGGTTCATCAGATACAAGAAAATTATAGTGTCATTCACAGCTAGGACCTATTTAGAGGTCCTAAAAATTGATGCTTTCTTATACAGCTTGGCTTTTTCTACTTATAAGCCTTAAATACTGAAAATCACAATTTTGTTTTCCATGGAAAAGCATTTGAGTATATTAAGTGTTTAAAAAGACATACCTGGGGCTATCTTCCGTGAGCCTCAGCAGGCCTTGCTGCAAGTCTTCAGAGAAGCAGGAGCTGTTTGGTTAGCCGCAGCAGTAGCAGCCCCATTGCAGGCTGCTGGCTTTACTAAAAATTTCCTTTCCTTTTTGTGTGGTTTTAAAATGTTGCATATTGACGTAGATGAAACTGTGGTTTGCAAGTAGTTTAACTTTATGAAGTTCTCCTAAAGAAGTTTTTTAAATATATACAATTTCATGTATGCTTTCTTAAGCAATTTACTTGTCATATTTTTTAGAGAAAAGATCTTCATTTGTCTATTTTAGTACCTAACCTTTTTTTAAAGTATCCAAGATGTGTTCTGTGTCATAATGATTTCAAAGAATATCACTCTTTATGCCTTGATGGGGATTAATAATTAAAGATATAAGGTGTTTATGCAATTATTTCTTCAGTATACATAGTAACACAGCATTTCAAAGTTAAAATTGAAACAATAGTTGCGCTGTTTAATACCTGCTGAGACACCTATTATTAAAAAAAAGTAAACAAAAATGTATTTTACAGAGTCTGCTAGTGTATGTTTTATTTATGTTATTTTGTGTTCATTTTAGAAAAATCTGGAAATAGAAATAAAAAAGGAACATGCAGAGAGATAATTACTGTTAATATTTTTGGTACATAAGTTTTAAATTTTTTCTATGATTATTTCCACTTAAATGTTATTCCTACTATTTTGTAGTTTATAATTTTTCATTGAAGAATATATTGTATATATTTTCAATTTATGAGATTAGGCTTGTAGTTAGTATTTGTCTATTTGACTCAAACAGCTTAATGGATTGAAATAGTATTTAGTAATTAATAGATTGTGTGTAAAGGAACCCTACAGTGTGTATTTAAGTTGTTTGGTTAAATGTTCATTGTGTCTGTGGCTGAACAAGTGTTTGTTGAATGTTTGAAAGAAGGCTAGCACAGTGGGGAACCTAACAAACATATTTTCAAGAGTTTTACATTTTCTGGTTCGAAGTTGATGTGTAAATGCAAAGCCATTGCCTGGTTAGTTAGGGTCTGGTTTCTTCTAATGCTTTGCTGGCTTGGTAGGTGCTTTGGTTTCTTTTAATAATACTTGGTCAGTTTTCTAGATAAGAAAAAAGAAGATACCTTTCCAGGATCTAAAATTAATCCCTTGGTATTAGTTTTTAAAAAGAAAAATCTCTCAAAAGATGAAATGAGAAGTATCTAGCTAGGGAGAATTTAGGGAAAGTCTACGGAGACTTTTGAAAAAAATGTAAAGATGCTTATGATGATATTGGTCACGTTTCGGGTATTCTGACATCCCCCCAAATTCATATAATTATTATTTTTGCCAGTGAGGACCATAAATTATAAAGTAGGAGGGAAAAAGCAAATGTTTCTCAAACATTTTATGTTAAGAACCACTGTGAACTTCATCATCATAGTGCTAGGAAAGGATCTTTCTTTTAAGATATGTATGCTTCAGTGTTGTACAGGACTCACTGAAGAACATACTTGTAGAAAAGACAAATTTGCAGACAAGTAAGTGAGAAGTGATCAGGGCTTACATTCACTGGAGGGTAGAGGGGGTGAAAGGGAGAGAATTTAGAGATGGGTGCACTTGACTGCAAACAGTGGTGAATGATTTTACCATGGCATGGAGAAAAACTGGGATGAAAGATTTTTTACAGAGTTTCTGTTTTGCTTCTTTTAGGTAGGTCTCTTTATATGTTTACTTCCCTGGTTCACTTTAAAGTTGTAGACAAAATTGAAAAGTACAAACAATTGTACTTAAAAATCTACTCAGGCCACAGTTTCTGTGTCTGGATTGCCAAATGTGAAAGCACTAAAGTGCCCTTGTTCTCAGAGTTATATTTAATTTTTAGAATAGTGAGAATTAATCTTTTAATGGAGAGATGAATCATATTCCTCTTCTTGAGAATGAGCTTGGGCAACCTGGCTTTGTGTGGAAGTTTATTCACAGTGGAAATACGTGTATTTTTCATTTTTTTATACGAGTTTCATTTGATTTTCTAGAAGCCACTTTTTCTATCTGTTTCATTGAGGACAAGTGTTTGTGACTGTATTTAGTGTTCCAGGAAGTTGCATGTCATCACTAACACGCACCCAAGTGGGAAGAAGTGAGGCGAAGTTATTTTTCCCTTACCTTGGTCATGGCAGTGCTGTTTGTTTAATAAATAATCTGTTCATTACTTATGAGTATTTCATGGATATTTTGTATGTGTAAAATAAAAATTAAAGCTAAGTTGTCCTCCAAGTTATTAAGAAAGAAAATATTTTCTGTAGTCTCTCCTATCCATACAAAACGTGCTTTTGATTTTATTGAACACAAATACCAAACAACAGTATTTCAGTAGAAATATTTTCTTTGAATATTTAGCGTTTTTAAAATGTGCTTTTTCAGTGTAGCATGGAAGCCATTTGGAACTAATGAGGAAGGGGAAAGCGAATGTTGGGGTCGATGGTCACTGCCACAGCCAGGCGCCCAGGACCGAGGACTTGTTTTTGTTAAAACAAGCCATGAGATGCAGGAGATTCTGCCTCTTACAGATGGGGAAACTATGGTGCAGAGAAATTAAGGACCGCTCAAACCTGCACAGTTAGACCCTGGCATCCCAGCTCTTAATTATGCTTCTTACAATGAAAGTGTTAGGGACAGTGATTACAATGGAGGCCATCAGGTCAGTCCAGGCCCCCTTCCCATTTAGTATTTGTAACCATTTGAATTTGCATGCCATTGGGTGGTAGAACACCCAGTGTACCACAGTTCTAACCTTCCTGATGGAGTTTTCAGCCTCCGGAATGTGAATTTAGGATGCTCTTACATCAAAATAGTTTATATCTGAAAGATTTTTATGATCAGTCATTTCTGCCACAGCCTGTGCAACTCCAAATTCAGCCCTATCTCTGCAGCCGTTGTGCTTCAGGGTTATGTTTTGAAAGAAAATAATTTTTTTTTTTTTTTTGCACATAATTCTCTTTCCCACCTGGATTAGCCCGAAGATTTTTTTCCGTGCTCCGAGATTGGTAGCTTTAAATCTGAGAGTGACTGTTGTGAATAGGCAGTGTAGTTTTAAAGTGAAATGTAGACATACGGTTTCCATGTTACTGTTTCTGTATTACTTAAATTCTGCCTTGTTTTTTTTCTCTTTAGTGAAATGGAGAATACATGTTTGGAAATGATTTGAAGGCAGAGGTTGTTTTTGCACATTCTTGGAATGTGAACTCAGTTAAAAGAATGGCTGGTACATTACCCTGTCATTTCCCCTTGACAGTCCTTTTGGTTGTCTGCCTTTTTATTGATGTTACTGCATCAACATTTCATTTTGCCTTTTGGTTGTAAGGTGTGACTGCTATTTGGTCCATGGTTATAAAATAATTTATGGAGGGGAAATTCATAATAAAGAACGTTTAAAGATGATCTTGTTTCTTTTTGGTCACTGAATTTCATGCTTTTTTTTCCTCATTTGATTGTTTATGGTCCATTTCTTATGAACTTATGACTAACACATTTTCAAAACACAGAACACATTTTAAAAACTCGTTAGTTACTTTCCAAGAGAATGTTCTTTGGAGAACGTCTTCCTTTTCCTAGCCATGTAATTTTTTTTTTTTTTTTTTTTTTTTAAGACAGGGTCATCTTATGTTGCCCAGGCTGCAGTGCAGTGGTTATTCAGAGGTCTAATCATAGCCTGCTACAGTCCCAAACTCCTTGGCTCAAGCAATCCTCTTGCATCAGCCTCCTGAGTAACTAGGACTACAGGTGCACACCACTGCACCCAGCCATGTGAATATTTCTTGATCAAGTATTTATGAAAAATTATAACAGCAAATATGTATTGATTGCAGGCTGCCTCCTGAGCTCTTATCCTGGAGAATATTTTATGCTTTGTAAAGGAGTGATAAGAAATCTTATCACCTGCTATGTGCTGTTAGAACCTGTGGGAATCCGGGAAGTGTAATGCTCCAGACTGTGGTAGGGTGAACGGGAGCTTCTTCAGAATGAGCTACAAGGTGGTATGCTTGAGGGATGACACAGATAATTGGAGTATGAGAAATTTTTTTGGGGGGACTATCAGGCAATTTAGGGGCTTAGGTGTCTCTGTGAGGAAAAGATTGAGACAAAATCTTGGATGCTCCCTGGGATTTTAATAAAGTAAGCACTGGAGAGCTCATGGCTATACAAGGGAAGGAGCTGTCAATTCAGCAATGTTAGGTAAATCTGCCAGCATTGGAGTTTGCTTGGTTAGGAGAGAAAGTGGAAGATGAGAAACCAGTTAAGGAATGATTGCAGTCATTTTAAGTGAGAAGCAATAAGGATCTGAAATTACATGGGAAGGGAGGAATAGCTGAGAACCACTGCAGAAGTAAAATCACTGCAGTGGAGGGTAGAGAGGGAGAAGAGGAGACTGAAGTTTTAGTCCTGGGAAAGGAAGTCTGAGGAGAGAGGCAGATTGGTCATGTAGAAAGGTGAATTTGGTTTATTGGCTTACAGAGTTTCTATTTGATATAACTTAGATTTTTATTTTATTCTTTATCATTTAGGTTTTAAATGTTTCTCAGAGCTTTATCTGTCATTAACCAAAACATTCTAAATGTACTTTGTAAACACTTAAGGAGCTCTTATTTTGAATGGTATTGATGTTGGTTTTCTTACTTAAAATAAGACAATTTTTCTTATTTTTCACCTACTTTCATACTATTAGATAAGAACTACACTTGGCCATGACAATTTTTTTTATAGTTGCATGTTTTTCTTAACAAGAAAGTGAATTTGATGTGGAGTTGAAATTGGCTTTTATAAGGATTACGTCCTCATGCAGGCAATATGATAGCACAGAGAGCTGGTATTCCTTTAGAAAGATAATGGTTGAAAGTACAACATAACAGCTTGGAAAAACCTGCAAGTTAAATATAGAGACTCTTTTAGCTTAGAATATAGAACATTGAGGCCGGGCGCTCACGCCTGTCATCTCAGCACTTTGGGAGACCGAGGTGGATGGATCACCGGAGGTCAGGAGTTTGAGACCAACCTGACAAACATGGTGAAACCCCATCTT